AAAAAAAAAGGAGGCCATTCAAAGTCAAGAAACACTAGAGGCTGGAGGAGGCCTTCCCTCCAGCTGCATAAACTGGACTACCATGATCAGAGGATCAAAAGGGACAACTGACTTCCCTTCTCTTTTCCTATTATCTCAAAATATTTCAGGAATGAGGGTCGGGATTGTAGGTGGAGATGGCCCAAATCATTCGGGTCCTAAATACATGTCTCCCAGGTATTTCTACAAGTCAGTCTATTTATCCCCCATCCATTTTGTCCTCCTGAGCAACCTACTTAGCAACCATTTGTGCCCTATACTCTTTAATTTCCCCCTCCCCTCTAAAAGGCCCATATAAAGGTATCTGAATTCCTTTGGAAAATTGGGTTCTCTCTCTATGATTTCTCCCTGTGCGCGTGGTAAATAAATCCTTTCTCTTAGTAGTCTGCCTTAATTGTGAGTTGATCTTTCAGCCCTTACACCCTGCATTTGAGACCCAGCAAAGTCTGAATGTCTTCCCAGGCTCACAAGACCCAGCTGTGCACACCCAACACTCAAACACTCACCCGGGGCAACTCTCCTCCTGCCTCTGGCTCTCCCTGGTGGCTAAAACTCCCGGCCTCATTGTTCTCACCATTATTCGGAAGGGGAACCTGAGACTCCATCACTTGAGGACCCCATCAGAATGTGGGGTCAAACTTGAGCTGGCCATTCCAACTGGATTTCGTCCCACAATACCCACATCACCCCCTCCTCACTTGTTACAGGCTTCCTGAGAGCCAGGAAGCCCCAAATGGGCACAAGCCTCAGACCCTGGGAAAAAGGAACCCCAGCTCGCTTCTTCTGCCACCACAAGCCAGAGGTGGGGTCCCTAGAAAGGAGGCATCCTTCCCTGTGCTGGCTTCTGCTTTCTGGTCCAGCTGTGGCCCAGGCTGAGTCAGCCCTGCTGGGACTCGTGATAAGTCTGGAGCCACAGGGCTTGAAGGGAGGGAAGAGAAGCAGTTCAAGCAGGTTGGGAACGAGGGTGGGTCCCAGGCCAGGCTGGAGGTAGGAGACCAAGGCTGCCCATGCTGCTCACTTTCAGGCAGGGAACTGCCCTCATGAGTGTGGAGGCTGCACTCTACAGTGGGTACCTAGCCTCCAGGCCTGGATTACTCTAGAGGCCCCCAGAAAGTTTGTGGGCACATAGAGATGCCCCCATTTCTTTCAGCCTCTCTGTAGGTCTTTCCCTGGAAACCTGACCTCCTCTCCGCTTGAGATGCATTGCCCAAGGTCTCACATGACTGGGCAGATGGCCAAAAGAGAGGGCGATCCCAGGAGTGTCCAAAGGCCTCCTTACTTGGGGTCCTGAACCCAGCTGGTAAGGTTGAGCAGGAAAGGAAGACTCAGGGTAGAGATCCCAGAGAAGCTGGGGCAGGAGCCCCAGGGAGGAGAGCCCAGCATGGATAAAGGCACTCATTCACTGGTCATTGAGCATCCACTGTCACACCTTTGCCCCTGTTGTGATGACCCTGTCACCACTCCTGCTGCTTTTGCCCCCACTGCTGGTACAGGAATCCCAGGTAGACGAGAGGCCAGATGCCTGCCAGGTACGGACAGTGCCAGAGGAGACCAGCTGAAGGGGACCAGTACCCTCTCAGGGCAGGCAATTCCTCCCCCCTCCCTAGACTCCACAGGGGAAGCTCAGGGCCCCAAGGAGATGAGAGTCCTGTTCTTACTGGTGCTGAAAACTCCCTTCATCCCCTGATACTGTGGCCACAGTCATTTTCCTTTTTTATCTCATGTCTGAGACACTCAGTTGTCCCCAGCCCGCCCTATGCAAGGCTTCACTGAGCAGCCACTGTGGGCTTCTGGAGCAGGGGCTGGGGTCTCATCTGAAGGCCAGGTGAACTCAGCAGTTGTGGGTGGCTCTGGCACGCATTCCCATGCCTTCCTGTGTGCACTCATCCCAGCCAGGGAATGGCTCTCACGCTTCTGGGACAGAGCAAATGCATGCCCCAAAGGCTGAGAACTTGCTCATGGCTCCAGAGACATGTGCCACCTGCCAACCACATCTGAAGTCAGCATTCACCACATGTTAAACACCACCTCTGTCCATTTGGGTGTGGGAAAGGGTCATATGGATCCCTGGAGATGAAGAATGAATGAATCCATGTGGGTGTAGGGCCTTGCTCAGCCCAGGGTGAAGGCTCTGGGGTGAAACGGCAAGAAATGAGCATGCATTAGGCTCCTGTGGTATGTGCCTCAAAAAGGCAATGACTAGGAATGTGCATGCCTTGCACTTACCGTATGCAGTCCTTCTGAGTGAGGAGCTTCACCTGACCTGGAGGAAAGCAAAGACTATGCATAATTGGGTGCCTATAATTTGCAAGTCTGTGTCATGGCCCTTGTGCAGACATGCTGAGGTTTAGTAAGGTTTGGGGACACAGTAAAGCCTCAAAGTGGCTGGGTGCAGTCACTTATTCTTATAATCTCAGCACTCTGGGAGGCTGAGGTTGGAGGATTGCTGATGGTCATAAGTTTGAGACCAGCCTGAGCAAGAGTGAGACCCCATCTCTACTAAAAATATAAAAACTAGGGTGGTGCCTGTGGCTCAGTGAGTAGGACACCAGCCCCATATACTGAGGGTGGCGGGTTCAAACCTGGTCCCAGCCAAACAACAAAAAACTGCAAAAAAAAATAAAAGAGCTGGGTGTTGTGGAGGGCTCCTGTAGTCCCAGCTACTCAGGAGGCTGAGGCAAGAGAATCTCCTAAGCCCAGGAGCTGAAGGTTGCTGCGGGCTATGACACCAGAGCACTCTACCAAGGGTGATAAAGTGAGACTCTGTCTCTAAAAAAAAAATAAAAAAAGAAACTATATAAAAACTAACCAGGCACTGTGGCAGGCACCTATAGTCCCAGCTAATCAGAAGGCTGAAGCAGGAGGATCCCTTGAGCCTAGGAGTTTGAGGGCTATAATGATGACACTGAACTGTAACTGGGGCAACAGAGTGAGACTGTCTCAAGAAAAAAAAAGCCTGGCTCGGCGCCT